AGCAGTTCCATCAAGCCTCAGATTCTTCTCATTAGCGAGAGATGAGGTAACTAGGATTCCCCATTTAGGCTTCCAAACAACGATGTAATGCCATATGAAACTCTATGCAAACAAGGAGTGAAAAGGCATGCAGAGAGCAGAAGCTGGTATGTTACAAATCAGTCTTCAAAACATGACGCATGCAATACTAGAGATGGTTGAGAATTTCATTTTAGTCTTTTTAAAAACTGACTTTACCCTTATTTGTAAATTCAGAATATAAGAGAAAGCAATCCTCATCAGTTCTGATCAATATACAGTGGGGTCTTGACTTGAGAACTTAATCCGTATTGGAAGGCGGTTCTCAAGTCAAAAAGTCTGTAAGTCAAGTCTCCATTGACCTACAGTGCATTGAAAACCGATTAATCCCGTAACAGGCCGTTTTTGTTCCATTTTGGTTTTTTTCTGGTCTGTAAGTCAAATCTCAGTCTGCAAGTCAAACCTAAATTCTGCGGCCAGAGAAGTCTGTAACTCAAAAAGTCTGTAAGTCAAGCCGTCTGTAAGTCAAGGGTCCACTGTATCAAATATGCCCAACGAACATACACTTCTCTCTTCAAGAGTGCTAGCATTAGGGGCACCAGACCCCCATGCAGTTCAAAATTCATGTATAATTCTTATGCTCCAAAAGTGAAACTACAAAGCAATAACAGGTAATTCACACACACACAAACCTGTCCTGACTCGCATCAGCCTCCCTGGATGCCCCAGCACCCTCCCCAGCCACCTCATGGAGCTACCATGCCAGGAGAGGAGACCAGCCAGGCCGCCACCATCAGCTCTGGGTCTGCTGCACCACTAACAAACAACAGGGGGCTTGGTAAGTCCAAGACTTACCTTGCTCAACCCATGTCCTGGAGATGAATAGCAGCACAGTATTTCTTGACTATTTCTTGAATATTTGTTTATTGGAATATATACATGTACATACAGGAAAACTGTATCATAATCAAAACTGTGCTTCTCAAAGACGTGCAATTCAAGGAAGTGTACTGCTGTTTTAGAAGGAGTAGACATGTTAGTCTGTGCTAGCATATCAAGCCAAAACAAAAGAAGAAAAAATAAAGAAGGCAAAAACATTGTGGCACCTTAAAGACTAATTGCTATATTTTAATGTGAGTTTTTGATGGACAAGTCCACTTTCTCAGACAAAAGCTCACACTAAAATATAGAAATTAGTCTTTAAGGTGCTACAATGTTCTTGTTGTCTTATTTTATTTTATTTTACTTGTCTTGTTTTGGCCAGTTAACATACTGCACGTGCTCTTTATGTTCTCCCATTGCATTACTGACACTCATCTTGTACCATTTATGCCTTCTTGAAGGACCATCATTGTATGAACAGAGAACCTAACAAGAATGTCAGAATAAATAGCTGTTGGAGAGGTAGTTATGATATACAGTACAACTTAATACTAGTAGGGAATGTTAAAAAGTTCTTACAACTACCTTTGAAGTGGGGCAAGTACTCAGGCAACATGTTCTGATAGTCTCCAACCATACATGCTGGAAAGAACGATAAGTATGAGCAAGGTATGGCCAGGAGTTACCACTTGGGAGAGGGACTACAGCACATATCTCAGATATAGAAGGTCCCAGCATCAGTCACTAAGTATCTGAGGTTAAGGGGATCAGATAACAAATCTGACACTCACAGTATATAATATTGGGCTAATGTATAATTGACTGGATATAAGGTAAGCTTCCTACTTGCCTGTTTAATAAAACAAAGACAGGCTTTGCTGGCCTTCTTTGCTCTTTGTTTTGTTTATAAAAACCAAGGTGATTAATAAAAACCATTGATGCCAGCAGTCACTCTGCAGATCAAAATGACCAACTGCTTCTAATAACCAAATGCATTGTCCAATCGCAGTTCTTATCCAAACTTTTTTCACCAGCACCATTTTAGGCACAAGAGACCTTTTGTAAGTGTTTATTATTCAGAGAAAAGGGTCATTTAGCTACTACTGAGACCTAAACAGACACCTGAAGCTCTGTCATGTTGGTTACATTATTGGCAAGGCATGCTGCTGAGGTATTTAAGAAGACAGAACTCACGTCAATCAAATGGAGATCTAAAGGCTTTGTTGATTGTTCCTTCAAAGCTCCATTCGGTCAGGACAGAAACATTCCTAGACACATTTAGAATGTTTGCCTCACCACAACCATCCAGTGTGTCACCACTTACTCCTCCTCCCTTATCCAGGCTATTCCACTATTAGTAAACATTACCTAGGCTTTCTCACTGATACGAACAAGGAGTTACAGCGCTAAACCTATGCACTGCTACACCATTTTTCTCTTTTAAATTATACAGGATTTCTATAAGTAATTGGAATTATTGGCATGCTCAGATAAGGAGGGATTTAAATACAGAGCCTTTTGTAAGTGAGTTTATACAGGTAAAACTATGCAAAACCGAGGGAACATGTATTAAAAACTAATACAATCTCTAAGACCTTGACAAAAGGGTTGTAAGAGTACTGTATTTACATCTGATGTACAAGAGAAGAAATTTACAACAACATGACCTGTTCCCTAATAGATAACTTGATAATTGCACCATTGCATGTCCATGCGTCATTCTTACTGGAGCCATGACTACAATGTTTCTTCATGCTTTGCGGCCATGTGTGAAAGTCATGGAAGGAGAGTTATATGCCTGATTCAGTTCTATAGCAGAAAAGGTTGTGGCAAGCTTTTTCTTCTATAACATGACACCAGCATCTTCATCCTACATCTCTGTCCTTCAGAAGCTCCACACACCCAGACTCCTATATTTGATTTGATATGATAGGCAATTGTCTTTATACAGTTGTTGTATATTTCCATGTAGTATTACAAAATTTAGACTATTAAAAAGGAACAGGTGCAAGATATGTTTCAATCAATCAATCAATCAATCAATCAATCAATCAATCAATCAATCAATCAATCAATATGCAATGATGAAAGATACGATGTGTGATCAGCTATGTTCATGTCACATTCCTTCTTGGAACTGTGAAGGCTGAATTTTCAGCCAAGTACACCCTTGACACAACAGCAGCTTGATCTTTTACTTCTCTACCTCTCTTATCTTTCATGTATCTTTCCAGCCCTCAGCATTCTTTCCTGTCAAACACTGTGTTTCTGATCCATTATCAATAGCCTTTGCTGTCCTTGGGTCCTCTATAAGGTTTTCCAAACACAACTCCTAATCTGAAACAATGATCTACTTACTGATGACTGAATGAATAGTGGGGACAGACTTGCACCAATTAGCACCCCCTGACAACAATAGCACCAATTTGCTTTGTCTCTTGATATCTCTGTGTTCCTCGCTTAACATCTACAGCAGGGTACAGTTATATGTACATAGATATTCATACAATCTGGAATCCAAGTCGGACAGGTTTACAGATTGCATTTACACTACTGTAGCTGAAATTACCCATATCAAGTCTTCTTTACTGTAGTTATGACTGCATGTAATCCTGAATGTTCACAGACGTAATATGCATAAGGCATACACCATAAAGTAGAAAACAAAATTTTAGATTTTTATAAAGCATACTGATGAATTCTATTTTACTGAACACAGAAGCTACTTCAAGATGGCTTTTGAAATGATGAGCAAGATAGCAGCATGTTTCACTTTAGCCCAAACAGTGTGGTTTGTGTTTTTCCCCCACAAATTCTATAAAAAGGAAACTATCTGCACAATTCATTCAAGCATATTATTTGAGTGACCTAATTCCCAGCTCAAAACCCATTCTTTTCATTTAGTGTGTAGTTTCACATTATTGAAACAAATATTGTAATCCACAATTAATTTGTCAGCATATACCATAGAATAACAGTGAGTAGCCTTCAAAATCTAGTCTCTCCAGTGAAATAAGACTACCTATCAGCTAATCCACTGAAGAACCTCTCTGCCAGAAGCAAGCAGCAGGTACGCTGAAGAACATTCCTTCAAGATACACAGGTGACTCAAGTAAGACAAAATCTCTTGCTGAAAAGAAAAGCAAGCAAATAAAAACTGCCAAAAGTCTCCCCAAAACTTCAAACATCCCTTACCAGTTAGATACCGAGGAAGACATATTCCTCATATTTTTCCAGTATGCTCATATTAGGATAACACCCAGAGAAGAGAGAGGTAGCAGCTTTCTGAATAATTTTTAAATCTGTTATGATGCTCAAATTGTTCCAGGCATAGGGGTGAATCCGCTTGCTTAACATAATTACAGATTTATGATTTTAGATGAAAAAAATCAGATGAAAAATCTAGTCCAATCACAATTCTGCATGTCTATTTTCTTTTCAGAAGGAAAAGGAAAATAGAATTTGAAAACAAAATGGTTTCCTATATTGCAGGAACAGCAGCATGATTTCGTCCCTTTCAGAACAAAATTTGCACTTGTGGTTAAGCTGATGTCACATTGTGAGTAATCAATCAGGCTGTAGGTCAGGCTGCAGGATTGTGGTGTGTACTTAAGATTAATTTTCAGTGTCAAAATGGTTGTTGGGACACCTATGGAACTTTTCCTTTTTTCAAATTTAAATAGGCCGAACTTAATGAAGTCAGGGATGTTAGGTAAAGAACACAGCAACCTGCCTTTTATTTTATTGGCAGCCGTAATGCACTCAGAAATGTCACTGTTTTTAGTCATCTATGGACTCATTAACATTTAAAACCGATCATTAATTAATTAACCCAATGACATAATTTCATTATATGCATTTTTCTTCAACCCTAAGCTTAGATTCCCTGAAAGTCAAACTCTTTGAAGTTACCCAGGTTACTGCATTTTGTCCTAAACCTTTCTTTTCTTTCAATGCCCCATTAACAAAAGCACATGATGGGTGGTACATCAGGGTCAGGGGGTGTGTTTGAAAGTGACATCAACTGAGACAATAAAAGGGCTCCTTAGTTACTTAGAGAAGTTCTATTTTAAAGTTATATTTAAGGAGTCTTCTACAGCAATTAAGCAGACAATCGACTTCTGTAAGCTGCTGGTATTATCTGAAGGAAGAAACTTTGGTAAGAAACTTCTATTTTAATTTAGAACTGACTGATTTTTTAAAATGCTATTTTCTTCCACCATCGGACTGTGCAATCAACAATTATTTGAAAATAATGAATGGCAGAGTTTAAGCAGCTAATTTAAGCAGCAGCTTTTAAAATCTATCTGGGAAACAAAACATTGCACCTAGGTGGGACTCTATTGATTAATTGATTTTTTTTAAATGCTCACATGAATGTGGATAGCATTTCATAAAAGATAACCAAGCTCCTAAACTGTAGGTGTTCTTATATTGCAACAATAAAAATAATATAGAGTACAGTAATTGTAAAAAAAGCTGCAGCATTCTACTTAGAAGTTTTACAAAATATTTATTCATCTGAAAGGCATAAATGAAATCTTCAGGTGTTTTACTGTCAATTTAGTATCACAAACATTAAAGCTGGACTCAGAGATGGACTCAGATTGTTTTCTTAGATGTTCGAAACATCTGGGGTGTCAAAGGTTTGCCATCCCTGCTTTATGATCTAAATTAATTTCTAGAAAGTGAAAGGCAGATAATATGGTGCGAGCAGATATATTCAGAATTCAGGATATGAGTTGTGGATAGCTTTGCCATCTAGTTTCCCACCACAACTTCCATTTGTAGTTGGACTGGAATGTCCCAGAGTTATCTCCTCTGATGTACACTTACTATAGATAATGTACCTGCCAATGTGCCAAAAGTGGTGAAGCAGTTGTGTGTAACAAATGGGACCTGGCTTGCAAGCTAAAAATATGTAGTTGCAATAATATGATTACTTCAGTGTATACTGGACTCTGCACACGTTCATTCAGCCAGTATTATTAAAATGATCATTATTTAAGTCAATTGGATTCAATTTTAGATATACACGGAAAATCCAGAAATCTTTACTGGCACAAAGTTCAAAACTGGGCAAATAAATAGTTCTTTACTCAATGAATAACTAACCTCTGAAATTCATCTTACAAATCATGTTGGTAGTTATTAATTTGGATGGCTTTTTGGGGGAAAAAAGGTGGACTCATGTTGAGAGAGTTCCTAAAACCACTCTCAGTAATTTTAAATCATAAATGCAAAATGTAATTTCAATGTTCACAGATACATTATGCTGGAAGACAATGGGGAAGGCAATTGCCTATCCGTGTCCTTCTAAAGCTATCCAGCTGTCCATTGCCGAAAACAGAATGCTGTACTAGAAAAGCATCTCTGGCCTGAGTAAAGAAGGCAATGTTTCAAGCATCCCAATGCTGTCCATCCAACACCAAAAGAGGCACTGCTGGCAGTAGAGATTCCCCCTCTTTCCCCTCGCAGTGCATTACATCTATTGCATTTCAAGATTAGTCAGGGGTAGTATCTGGACCACTTAAATCAGGGATTCAGCAAAATTCAGCAAAATGCAGCCTAGCACCCCTATTCCCATGCTTCCCCCCTTTTTGTATTTTTTTTTTCAAAAATTAACTGCTCAAAAAAGTGGCTTGCACCGATAGGCATAGAGGATATTTTGCCATATTTTGCTCCCACAACTGTTGTGAGGGGGCTCGTTAGAAGAGCTCTAGGGCAGCCAAAAAGCCAAAATTGCTCCATCTGCCACTAAAGGGAAGGAAGTGGCTTTTTCAACTTAACCTTAAAGAAATCTGTTTTGAAAGGTGGGGATCACAGAAGCAAGTGTGGCCCTTGAAGTCCCAGAAGTCCACCTGGAGCCCCCATCTAGAAGTTCCTCACATCTGACTTAATATACACTAAAAATGGGTGTGACTCTATGGTAAAATAGTGTTTGTAAAACGACAGTAAAAGACGGTATACTTGAAGCTACGGTACAAGATCAATGATTTGGTATTTCAATCATTTTACATTGTTTAAATTTTGTGCAGGGTTCTAAGGAAGCTTACAACAGTACCCTCATAGGGAATGTAGATATGATAGACAATCATTTATACTGGATAAATCTAAAAATTATTATGAAACTCCATGGTTACAGATAGTTGCCAGCAAAATCAGGTTGACTCTCTGTGTCATCATCTGTTCAGATAACATGAGAAAAAATCCTTTTAAAAACAGAATAATAGAAAAGTGAAGTTGGAAGGGGCCTACAAGGCCATCAAGTCCAACCCCCTGATCAATGCAGGAATACAATCAAAGCATATCTGCCAGGTGATTATCCAAGTTTTTCTTGAATGCTTCCAGTGTTGGAGCACTCACCAGCACCTGAGGTAACTGGTTCTACTGTGTTACTGCTCTAATAATTAGGAAGATTTTCCTGATATTCAACCGAAATCTGGCTTCCTTTAACTTGAGCCCATTGTTGCGTCTCCTGCACTCTGAGATGATAGAGAACAGATCTTGCCCTTCTTCTGTATGACAGCCTTTCAAATGATCTGGATCATTTTTGTTTGTGTGTAGTGTTCAAGTTAATGTCTCAATTTGATTAACCCAATTCAACCATGAGAATGTGGATTGACAGATTCTAATTCATCTCTTATAGTTAACATGGCATCAACCAGAGTCTTGGTAAAAACTGCAATCATTTTATATGCAGTCTGTTTCATCACAAATTCTGGTGGAAAAGCTGTGATGTAAGTATATATTGCTATACTAATTTTGTAAGATTATAGGTGTTGTTTAAAAATACGTGCTTATCTCAGTCCCTGTTGGTAACTTCTTTAAGCAAAATACCATTATTTACAGCTACTTCTTAATTCTTAATATCTTCCCAAGACCGTTCATGGGCTGAAATACTGTTGTGAAGCCCTATGTGTGCAATGGGAATGACAGCAGCAGTAGCAAATTGCCACTGATTACAGGCTTCCTTTGATGATTGTGGGGTGCAACTTGTAGAAAACATAACAAAGTTGCATGCACCCTGAAAATGCCAAAGAAAGCCTCTAACCAGTGGCAATTTGCTACCATTGCTGTCAATCCCATTGAACATGCAGAGCTGTGCAACAGGATTTCCATCAGTTAATAGCCCTGTCCTCCTAAGCATACTTTGAAGTAAATCTCATTATATTCCATATTAATATGAACCCATAGAGCAGTAATTCCCAGCCTTGGGTTCCCATATCTTCTTTGACTAAAACACCCAGAAGACTTCATCACTAGCTAGGCTGGCCAGGATTTCTGGGAGTTGTAGTTCAAAAACATCTGGGCATCCAAAGTTGAGAAGCACTGCCATAGAGGATCAGCTGCCCAGCTTGGCTAATCAGAAGTACAGCTATATTATATGTTGTCCATAAGATGAAATTGCCATGATCTCCAATTTGCAGTTTTATGAGTTCTCCTGAGCCTGGGCAGATTAAGTCACAATAATGTTGCATGGAATGTTGACTCTAGAGTACTGTACAGTATGTTGTTCCCCAAATGCACCCCTCTTCCATGAACATAACACAAACACAAAACACAACTTGAAGGAACACATCTCTTCATATGAGCCTCTCTAGGTTTCAAGGTGTTCAGGGGGAGGCTCTTCTCTTGGATACTCATTTACTCAGGAGCAAAACTGCTACTGACCCCTCTTTCCTCTTTATACTCACAACCAGGAGAACTACTACTACTACTACTACTTCACACCATCAAAATTATAAAAACATTGGCTTGTATTATATAATAGATACAGTGGTGCCTCGCATAGCGATCGCTCTGTTGAGTGACAAAATCGCTTAGCGATGGAGTTTTTGCGATCGCAAAAGCGATCGCTTAGCGATGGTCCCTATGGGTTTTTTTTGCTTTGCGATGATCACAGGGAAGCGATCATGGCAAAGCGACCCTTTTTAAACAGCTGATCAGTGGTTTCAAAATGGCCACCGGGAAAACAAAATGGCTGCCCACTGTTTTTCCTCGCTTAAGAGGCAACGAAAATGGCATCGCTATGGAGGATTTTTGCTTAAAGGTGAGGTTTTAGGCCCACAGGAACACATTAATCGTGTTTTGATGTGTTTCTATGGGCTTTTTAATTTCGCTTAGCGATGTTTTCACTTAGCGTTTTTCCAGAACGGATTAACATCGCTAAGCGAGGCACCACTGTACAAATTTTAACCAAAAACCTAAGTATCTGTTAAATATTGGTGCAGTATTTATGCTCTTCAAATATTGCTGGTTTTTTCCAGCTCTGATGGTGTTATTTCTGAGTTGTTGTTGTTGTTGAAGAAAGTTATTTTTCATCATTCACATGGTTCACAAAGCAAAAGGAAAGGAAGAGATCCTGGAAAAATTACAGTTCCTCTGTGAATAGGTTCCACATATAGCAGATGGCCAGATCTTTGCATTGTTTTTCTTCATGCCAGGTTGTTTTTAATCCCACTAAATTCACATTCATTACAGGAAGAGGTCTGTAAGTGAAATGCAAATTATGCATGATTTGGGGGAACATCTGCATTCTGTGAACAGACAAAACTGGCTCCTTGAGAAACTGCAGACTGTGCACCATGACCCCCAGGCTGCTGAAGAAACAGCCGTGGATGCCAAGCCCCGTGAAGTAAGAAGTTGGCGGCTCCTCCCTGGTCATCTTCAGGCAAAGATACAGAAGAAACCCAAGGATTGGAACAAAGGGTTTAAAGACACCACTTTCAAAACAAAACCTCAGTAAAAGAGTCATAGTGTTGGCTTTCCAAATTACAGTAGTGCATAGAGTAGTGAGCATTTAGGGCATTTTATTATTTATTATTTATAAAACAATGGCATCTAAAGGCATGTCCACCTCATACCACTTCTTGATGACTCGGTGTGCTTACCCTAAACATGTTATCCCCACGATCTAGATCAACTGTAAGGCCAGTTCAGACTGAGCCATCTACATCATTAACTTCTGCTGTGGAGTGGCTGAGCACTGGGTGAGAAAGACTCTTGCCTTTCCTGTACTTCCCTTGGCTGCTGTACTACTGAACCTGACTCATAATCATGGGCAGGTGCAATAAAGACAATCCTAAATGAACTGATTCATGGCTGGCATGTATTATATTAATAAAGGAATTCATGGTACTTGTCTCTCCATTTCAATCATGCCACCTACCTTGACTTTGAGAAGGCGGCAACACAGATAAGAGCAGAAATCAGAAAATTTATTGTACATTATTGTACTTTTGGGTCACAAGTCCCAGAATCCCACAGCATGCCAGTTAGCTGAGTTCGGGATTTTTTGGTTAGGAAAAAAAAACACAAAACTTTCCTGAGGTCTCGGTTAGACTTCGTGCAGCACTGGATTTGGTCCTAGGAGGCCTGCTAATTCTTTGACAGGGTATCAACTGATGGCAGGATAAATTCCTAGCATCAGTTCCTACACAGCCACTGTAAAAATGTTACTAGTTAGGTGAATTAGCAATAGTAGTAATCCACAAATGGGGACAGTCCTGCAAAGGTGCTAATTGTTTGAAAAGGATTAAATATTCTAATATAAATTGAATTGAGATAAACATCAGTGCAAGCCATTTACTATCAATCTTTTCCTTAATACTGTGATTTTATCACATAAAATCGTTGACATGAATTTCTGACTTAATACTGTGGACAACGTTCATGCTGGTAGAGGGATTCCGGGAGCTACAGTTTAATGAGCTCTGTACCTGAATGTTTCTGAAGAATGTCATGCATCTGAATGTTTTTGAAGCCCTTTTTTTTACGCTGTTGCTTAGACAGGGGGCTGTTGGGGAGATTCATGAGATGACAGAACTAGGTTTTTTTTGTTGTTGTTGTTTTTTGATAAACGGGAAATAGGAGACGTATATACACCAGCACTGAACGAAAGTGGAAGGGTGGTGTGTTCTGCTAATCATAATGTATATTGCCTTGAAAATAATTCCTTATAGGCTCAAGTATCTGCTTTTAATGATTAGCATTTTATTTCACTGGAACCATCTTGAAGCACCATATCAAGTATGTTGCACTGAAAAAGCACATGCTGCTATACTTACTGCTGTGGCAGATAAAGCAGAATTCCTATTGCACCTAAAAATCTCAAACAGTGAAGTGAATAGATAGCACTACGATCTAATATTGATGTTTCACTCACAGAGCTAATTCTGTCTGTGAAACTGGGAAACGGTGATTCTTCTCAACCTTACAGTCACTGGACCACTCAACACCTGCTCAGGAGAGCTAGGAAATCCCCCAGACTCTGAAGAGTCTTTTATGAAGTGCAGAAGGCTGTATGGGGGAAATGGCTATATTATACTAGTGAATGTCTACTGGTGTGGACATAAGCTCTATTCTTACAGAGCTATAAGTTTATCTTAAGGCACATGTTTATGGAATTTGCCAGTAAGGGTGCTTGAAAACAGAACACAATATCCTGATGTTATAGACATGTCCCTGAAAAGCTCATCCATATGATGAAAATCACATCAACATAAATCTGTGCAAAATCACACTTTGAGGCTGCAGTCACATACTGTATGTACACAAGTAGTAAAGTGTGACTTCCTTCTGAGCAAATATTCATAGTCTGGGCCATGTGATAAGGAAGTGACTGACTGCATGATATAATGTCCCTATCATGAAAACTGGTATAGTCCAAATTTATCCAGGACTGAAGACGCAGATCATAAAATTTCAGCATTATCTTGTGGTGTCACTAACTGCATTTTCTGTATATAAATATTGGTAAGCACACATATATTTACACCGAGATTGGGGAAATCTATGGATGAAAAGCAAGTTTTCTATGTTTCATTATATTAGTTACTCTTTAATATCGGGCCTAAGGAATATCAAATACACAGCTATGCTATGTCAGCCTTTTCAGTATGGACACTACTATGACCTTCATGTGTTCTGCAATTAGTAATTGGTTAATAAATAACAAATAATAATAATGTCAAAATACATTCATTATTTTTCCACTTTAGAAAGAAAGATGCAAATAGTGTGATGTCATGAATTATATCTGGATGGCATGGGAATTTCTCGCTCCCTTTACATCAGGGACAATGCTTTGACCGAGGGTCCAGGAATTCTCTTGTACTCTCATGAACAGATAACTCACAGGTATAGACCCTTGAACCTGCAGAGAACTGCATTTGTTTCAGTGGCATTCCATGTGGGAATAGGGTTTTGAGATAGCAAAAGAGGATATTTGTGGAACTCTTAAATGCACTTTCTATTTATTCTTTTTGCTGTATGTTCATGTTTAACGTCAGAAATGCAGTTTTATTTCTTGATATCTGTATCTTGCTAATGCATTGTCAAATAAAATGGACCAAAAACTCTCTGACAGTAGTAGATGAAAAGCACAAACATTTGGTCATTGTCATTATTTGTATGGTCATTAGTCATTATCTGTCACTTTGTTCATTATCTTTCAGGGCAGGTATGGGCAACATGCAGCCCCAATTATTTTCTAGCCACTGAAAGCCCCCCAAATAGTTGTGGCCACCAAATTATTCAAAACAAAAAACAAAACAAAAGTAAAAAAGCAGAAATGACTTCTGGTCAATTCTGTTTCTGATTTTGAGTGCTTTTTGGCACCAGTGGGCTGCTGAATAGGTGCTAATTCTCAAGATATCCTAGACTGAGGAACTGGCCCTCATCATTTTCCACTTCTGCCATATAATCATGAATCAGTCTGACTAAATTCAGGCAAATTAAATTGAACTTAAAATCTAATGAAATGAATATGGAAGTGAGCTCAGTTGGGAGCTAAGTTCAACTAATTTAACAGTGCTTGTTCAGAAGTATGTCTCTGCTGTTCAACTTGGCTTATTTCCTATTTTATTTATTTAGGATTGCATCTAAAGAGGGAGCCACTCTAAATTGTGTGTATTCTTGTGGCAGAGGATGGGGGAGATTTCCTGGCACAGAAACCACTTCCTAAACACTGCCAGCTCATTGTAGCCATTTCCTCTTCTTGAATTTTAAAATACCTCTTCTATTGATACAATGGAAATTGTTTTGGGCCCAGTCCCTGGACATACTGGGGGATTTCTGTGACTCATATATATCTTGGCTGGGTGCACCATCCTGCCATCAGGGCTTCTCTTCACCTTCTACCACAGGCAAATTTCCATCAGCTGGCCTTGGCAGGAATTTGGTCTCCATCAGCTAGGTTAAGGGAGAGCTTTTGATTGCTTTGCTATGTGTGGGTCCAGACTATTGTATTTAAGTAAAAACCACTGCACAATGACACAAAAGACACTCTTCTCTTAATTTGAATAGGAAGGAGTTCTGACCAGCTTGGAAAGAAATTTTAAAATGCAGTTAGTTATTGTTTTCATTCTAACCCCCACTCAAATTACCATTATAGCTACCTGGATTTAAAAGAAAACATTGAATTTCCCATTTATCAAAAGTAATTAAAAGTCACATTTACAACATCTCAGTGCTACCTGGGGTGCTAATAACTCCCTCGCCCTTCCTATCCATCTCATTGCCATCTCACTGTGAAAGATGACCCTTTAATTCCTGTGATGAGTCTATTTTGTGGGGAGCCACATCCTGTAACAACAACAAAAGAATGAAAAGTTACAGTTAAATCATGAAAATACTTACGCTACAATAAGTAATTTACAGCTTAGTTATTATTGGCAATTAATTGCTTCCAAATTCTGAGCCGACACCCTGTGTCTTGGCACATAGCTTTAGTTCAGGCTAGAGCTAGATATTCCTCTGCCAGGTCAACTGTGCCAAATTCCATATGAAGACAAAAGAGTAGCTACCTGTCACTAGTGTCTACGTTCTTTACACGTCAGCCTAGATTAGCCATATCCAATTTGGGTCAATAATTAATGTATTAGTATGACCCAGACCTGCCCCCCCCACACACACAAGGATCAGAAATGTCTTAATAGTCCCAACACTAGAGGGAGTTATTAGCACTCATAAAAATAAAAATTTTCAAGGGCTTTGCTTCCACTTATGTAGGCATATCCAACAATGACTATGTTTATTTAGGACAAAGCTATATTAGTTCAGAAAAATTGTTTTCTGGGATGAGAACCCCCAGAGTTCCCAACAGGGAATGTTTGTTGGGAATCCTGGGAGTTATAAAACAAACAAACAAAAACAAATTCTCAAGCTCTGGGTTAAAGTCAGCATCAGACAAATTTTAGCTGGTTTGTCTTGTAGAAAACTCAACATCACTGCTAGTGTGCAAATATCTGCAAATGGCAAAGGAGTGTCTTAATTCCTTAAACAAACAAATTAGGAATGTTCACCTAGTTTGTTTGTTTAAGGAATTCAGTGTTATCTTCTTCAGAGACCTATTGAACTAAACAAATGAAAACCATACTCAACTCTAGATTCAGAGCAGGTGGAGCAACCTGTAATAATAATTAGTCATTTCATTATAACGTTATGTCATTTTTGACTACATTTATACAACACGTTTTTGCTCTTGCACTCAAAGGGCTTTATAGCTTAAAACTCTCCCTTATAGGGGAGAACAACCACAGAAACAGAAGAACAGGGAGTGAAGAGAAAGAAAAGGAAGTTCAGCAACAGCAGGGGTGATATTGCTCCTTAATGAAGACAGATAATTATCTAATGAAGGATCTGACAGGGAGAGAATTTTGATGGATGTTGGTTCCAACTAAACCAGTGGAGGTCAACTTTACTGTTTTACCTCTTCCATAGATGCAGGTAAGTTGAATGGTTGTGGTTGAAGTTCTGGAAAAGATAGACAGTGGTTGATACCAGCTAGACTGATGGAAGAGGGCCTCTGCCCAAAACTTTTTAACGCTAGAAGTACAGCATCAAATGGTATTTCCTTCAAAATGTGCTTAAGATTCAAGTTTTAGACACGATACATTTTGATCTTTGAAAATTTTCCCTAGCCATCTTGCTGCAGGATCTGCATATCTACGCAGACAACTTTATTACAATTTTGTATATATTATTCTAACCTTATCTCCTGACTAACCAATCCCCTGAAAAATTTGATATGTCTCAGTCATATCCCCCCTCAGGTGCCTTTTCTCTAAAGAACCCCAAAGGCTGTAGCCTTTCCTCATAAGGGAGGTGCCCCATCCCAGTCATCATTTTAGTCACTCTCTTCTGCACCTTTTCCAGTTCACTGTGTCTTTTTTGAGGTGCAGCAACCAGAACTGTATGCAATACTCCAGGTGCGGCCTTACCAGCATTTTGTACAATGGCATTATAATGTTGGCTGTTTTATTTTCAATCCCCTTTTAAAAGATAGCTAGCATGGAATTGGCCTTATTTACTCCCACCACACACTGGATTGACACTTTCATCAAGCTGTCCACCAGCACACCAGGATCTCTTTCCTGATCCATCATTGACAGCTCAGAACCCATTAACTGATAACAAAAGTTTTGATTTTTTCACCCAATGTGCATTACTTCACATTTTCTTATATTGAAACGCATTTGACATTTTGCCCTCCATTCTCCCAGTTTGGAGATATCCTTCTGGAGCTCTTCACAATCCCTTCTGGTTTTCACCACCAGGAAGTTTCATGTCATCTGCAAACTTGGCTACCTCACTGCTTATCCCTGTCTCCAGGTCATTTATGAAAAGGTTGAAAAGCACCAGTCCCAGGACCATTTTCACCTCTCTCCTTTGTGAAAATTGCTCATTAACACCTACTCTCTGTTTCCTGGCTCTCAACCAATTCTCAGTCCATAAGAGGACCTGCCCTCTTATCCCCTGACTGTGCAGTTTTCTCAGCAGCCTTTGGTGAGGGACTGTGAAAATCCAGACAGACAATATCCACTGGTCTGCCCACATCCACATGCCTGTTGACCTTTTCAAAGAATTCTTAAAAGGTTTGTGAGGCAAGACTTACCCTTACAGAAGCCATGCTGATTTTCCCTCAGCAAGGCTTGTTCTTCTATGTGTTTTAGGATTTTATTTTGGATGAGGCTTTCCACCATCTTCCCTGGAACATACATTAGGCTAACAGGTCTGTAGTTTCCCAGATCCACCCCACCCCCACATTTCACTTTTTAAAGATTGACATGACATGTGCTATCCTGTAATCCTCTGGCACTGTGGCCATTTTAAGGGAGAAGTTATATATTTTAGTTAAGAAATCAGCAATTTCATTTCTCAGTTCCTTAATAACTCTTGGGTGGATGCCATCTGGGCCTGGTGATCTTCAATTTATCAATTAGGTCTAAAACATGCTCACTTTTAACCTGTATCTGATTTTATTCAGTCAGGAGGGGCCGTTCAGGCAGTGGGCACCAGCTGTACAACTCCCAGAAACCCCAGTCAGCTTGGCTAATGGTGAGGGACTGGCTGCGCTGAAGTCCAAAACATGCGAGGGAACCTAAAGATTAGATTTAATACAAAAGAGGATATTGAAACAATGAACCACTGAAATGCTCAAGGCCATGTTGAGAATCAGGTGTGGAGGGTTCTTTATTGCTCTCACTTGTGCTTTACTGGAAATCAAGAGCCCCTGCCACCAACTAGATAAAATGGCTTGCTCTACGTTGCTTAACGTGCCTATGCATATTTACTCAAAGTAACACCTGGTGTGTCCAACAGGCTCTCTCTCTGTTATGCATGTAAGTGCAGTGTCAGGTTTTTGTTTTGTATTAATCTGATAACATCCGGTATCTTCCTTCCTCTCTTTCGCATTTTAAGCCCCACACCTGTTCTTTGACTTAATTCACATGGACAAGTGGTTCCTCTTTCTTCCCTTTGATATGTTGTTGCCCCGGGTGCATTTTGGTGTTTCCCTCAATAGGGCAATGCTTCAGAGGAACAATGCAAATGTTCAACATATTTCTTTGCATTGTTAAATGAACAATGCAAAGAAATAGAAGAAAATAATAGGAAAGTAAAAACCAGAGATCTGTTCAGGAAAATTGGAGATATTAAAGGAACATATTGTGCAAAGATGGACATGATAAAGGACAAAAATGGGAGGGACTTAACAAAAGCAGAAGACATCAAGAAGAGGTCGCAAGAATACACAGAGGAATTACTGTATTTTTCACTCTATAAGACACACTTTTTCCTCCAAAAAAAGTGGGGGGAAAGTGTGTGCTTCTTATGGAGTTAATACTGTAAAAAAGGGTTGCAATTTAAATTCTAACTGTAGATGGCAAAAAGGCTGCTTCTTGGTAGCTTTTTCACCCCAACAGTTAGGAAGAGGTTGCGGAGGAAGGCCAGGTAAGCTCCCGGAAGTCTACGGAGTGGTGATGGTGATTTCGGCCTGCAAGGCCCGCGGGGTGTGGGGGTGGAAGACGCCTGGGAAGGGTCTGGGGAGGGAAGGGAAGGTGGCGATTTCGGCCTGCTAGGCCCTGGATGGTAGTGGTGGAAGACAGCTGGGAAGGGAAGGTGTTGATTTTGATTTTGACCTTTCCCAGCCATCTTCCACCCCCCCTCGCAGGCCTAGCAGGCCAAAACTGCCACTTTCCCTTCCATTCCCAGACCCTTCCCAGCCGTCTTCCACACACCCCCAGGGCCTATCAGGCCGAAATTGCCACCTTCCCTTCCCTTCCCAGACCCTTCCCAGCAGTCTTCCACCACCACCACCCCCGCAGGCCCAGCGGGCCAAAATTGCCAGAATATTTTTTCCTGTTTTGCTCTCCTAAAACGTAGGTGCATTTTATGGACAGCTGAATCTTATGGAGCAAAAAATACAGTATACAAGAAAGATGTGGCTATCCCGAACAATCCAGATAATGTGGTTTCTGACCTTGAGCCAGACACCCTGGAGAGTGAAGTCAAGTGGGCCTTAGCAAGCATGGCAAACAACAAGGCCAGTGGAGATGATGGCATTCCAGTTGAACTATTTAAAATCTTAAAAGATGACGCTGTCAAGGTGCTACATTCAATATGCCAGCAAGTTTGGAAAACTCAACAGTGGCCAGAGGGCTGGAAAAGATCAGTCTATATCCCAATCCCAAAGAAGGGCAGTGCCAAAGAATGCTCCAACTACCATACAATTGCACTCATTTCAATGCTAGCAAGGTTATGTTCAGAATCCTACAAGATAGGCTTCAGCAGTATGTGGCCCGAGAACTCCCAGAAGTACAAGCTGGATTTCGAAGGGGCAGAAGAACTAAAGACCAAATTGCTAACTTGCGCTGGATTATGGAGAAAGCCAGAGTTCCAGAAAAACATCTACTTCTGCTTCATTGACTATGCAAAAGCCTTTGACTGTGTGGACCACAGCAAACTATGGCAAGTTCTTAAAGAAATGGGAGTGCCTGACCACCTTATCTATATCCTGAGAAACCTATATGTGGGACATGAAGCAGCAGTTAGAACTGAATGTGGAACAACTGATTGGTTCAAAATTGGGAAAGGAGTATGACAAGGCTGTATATTGTCCCCCAGCTTATTTAACTTATATGCAGAATACCTCATGCAAAAGGCTGGACTGGAGGAATCCCAAACCAGAATTAAGATTACCGGAAGAAATATCAATAACCCCTGATATGCAGATGATAACACTCTGATGACAAAAAGTGAGGAGGAATTAAAGAACCTCATAATGAGGGTGAAAGAGGAGAGTGCAAAAAATGGTCTGAAGCTCAACATAAAAAAAAAACTAAGATCATGGCCACTGGCCCCATCACCTTCTGGCAAATAGAAGCGGAAGATATGGAGGCAGTGACAGATTTTACTTTCTTGGGCTATATGATCGCTGCAGATGGTGACAGCAGCTATGAAATTAAAAGACACCTGCTTCTTGGGAGGAAAACGATGACAAATCTTGACAGCATCTTAAAAAGCAGAGACATCACCTTGCTGACAAAAGTCCCAATAGTCAAAGCTATGGTTTTTCCTGTAGTGATGTATGGAAGTGAGAGCTGGACCATAAAGAAGGCTGACTGCCGAAGAACTGATGCTTTTGAATTGTGGTGCTGGAGGAGTTTCTGGAGAGTCCCCTGGACTGCAAGAACAAACCTATCCATTCTAAAGGAAATCAACCCTGAGTGCTCACTGGAAGGACAGATCCTGAAGCTGAGGCTCCAATATTTTCACCATCTCATGAGAAGACTCCCCGTAAAAGATCCTGATGTTAGGAAAGTGTGAAGGCAAGAGGAGAAGGGGACGACAGAGGACGAGATGGTTGGACAGTGTTATCCAAGCGACCAACATAAATTTGACCCAACTCCAGGAGGCAGTGGAAGACAGGAGGGCCTGGCGTGCTCTGGTCCATGGGGTCACGAGGAGTCGGACACGACTAAACGACAACTTCAGAGCAAGTCCAGTAGGCAGAAGAGAGCTCACGTTGCTTTTGAGATTTGCCCTCCCTAGAGGACCTCGAACAAGCAGTCTTGCGGAACTTAAAAGACCAACACGTTTTATTTGCTGCGGGCTTTCGCGAATTGTAGCCCAGGAAAGCTTATGGCAGATAAAACCCGTTAATCTTTAACTTATTACCAGATTTCCCGTTGGCTGAATTGCAGCTGTCTAAAAACAGAGCTGCTCCTCCCCTGCTATCAGTCTATGTAATTGATGTGACATACATTTCAGACGTTACAAAGTAAAACGTAATTCAGCGAGTTTATAGACGCTACACGGGGGGAAAATGACAAATGTTGAAGCAATTCGCCCTTCCCCCTGTTCACTCGTGCTGTATAGAAGGGAAGGGCGTGAGGGAAGAAGCATTTCTGCTACTGGCTGACGGATGGGAGGGGCGAGAGAGAAGGAAGGGAGGCAGCAGGCAGCGCGGGGGCGAAGATGCCGCCAGAGCCACCGCATTCCAGGCTCGCTTTCGACGCGGCAAGAACAAGGAAGAAGAAGAGCTCGCCGTTGCTCGACCGTAAGCCCGCATCGGCCTCCCGCCTGGTTCAGACGTGCTGGGTGCTGTTGGGAGTCAAGCGGCCAGCAGCCTCCGTGTGGTAAGCAGGAGAACTCTCCCCCACCCGACCCCCTTCCCTCCGTTTTCGCCACAGGGCTCCCCGAACTATCGCGAGGTTTCGCCCGCTAGAGGCCTATTTCTCGCGAGAGAACAGGCGCTGGCGGTTGACCGGGCCTAGTACAGTAGTTGTTGTAAATCGGTGAGGACGTAGCTAGGGAGGCGCGAGGCGGTTGGAGCCCCGCGCGCCGGGCGCAACAGGTGAGAACGCGCCCTGGGCCGTTGCGCCTTTCCTCGAGGTGAGTTGGGAGCGGCCTGAGGAACGAGGGAGCGGGGAGGGAGGCGTCCCTAAGAAGGAACGAGGGGAGGTGGTGAGGGGTTGGTGGCCGGAACCGAGAGGAACCCCTCTTTGGAGGCTCAGAACCAGCGAGGGCGACAGCGACGGCCACCGGCGATTCTTTTCTTGACCGAGTAAGGAAGGCTGACTGGTAGGTCGTTCCGGGAAAAGGCGTAGTAGGACATCCGAGGCGCCGGGAAACCCTCCGTCAGAAGATGGACGCTTGGTCGTCTTCGTGTTCCTTCGTCTAGGAACGGTAGTTTGGTTTAGAAAGAAAGACGGGGCAGTTGCCTTCGAACGGGAGAGTCTTGCTAAGCAAAGGATACCACCACTAGAACATAATGCCTATATTTCGTGTGTCGATGTTGGCTTGTGTGTACGCATATACATATTTACGTATGATTAAACATATCTATGCAGTAGCCAATGTATATATACAGTACATGTATGTGTGTATATATATATCAACCTAAATATGGATTCATTTATATGTACTGTATATCTCTCTGCACATTTCATTTATGTTTTAATGCCACCATGATCTCTGGAGACTGAGTGGCAGGTGGAAAAGGGAAGTTATACAGCAGATCATACAAGGAGTCAGTTGATGAGCATAAGAATGGATGCCATTTGCAAGAGGATGGTCGTGAGGAAAGCTCTTTTCCACATGAGACCATTTATGGCATGTATTATGATATACTTCCTGTTACTTACACAAACTTCACACAGTTCACCTTGAAGGACTTTAAGTGCATGACTGCTCATGTATAAATGTAGTGTTATGAGTAACTCACATACTTCCCTCCTTTTCTATATGCTGCTCTGGCTAGGTCAGGTGGAAGGTCTAGCCCAGTAATTTTTGGAGGGCCAGATGTTGCCCAGTCTTCCTCAGCCTGTGTTGCCATTCAGACAAATACTCTTGTAGCCAGTAGAGCAGAAATGTTGCCAGCAAGTTCAATAATAGTAACAAAATATGTAATGTTTGGTCAAAAGGTTGAATTGTTGCAAGCCTTTAAACAAACAAACTCTGGTATTGATTTAATTTAAGCATTTCTAACCAGATATCTGTCAGTAGACTCTAGGATAAATTACAAATAATCTCACATTAAAACAAACTAAAACTGTTCTAACAGTTTAACATTCTAACAAAACGTGCAAACTGATAAAGAAAACCAAGCCTTGATCTTACTAGACTCTGGAGCTCACCTGTATATTTGAATTTTAGTTCAGCAGTAAAATAAGGATCATGGGAGCCTGCCTTCATCTTAAGATCCTCAGGAGAGTCCTTTCTTCCTATTCTACTTTTCTCATACTTCTGACAGAAAAGGCTTTTCCAGCAGCTACTCCTCTAAGGGAACGTATGCTGGCCCCTCCCTGTTGCTCTTTCACAAACAGGAAAGACATTTTTATTTAGAAAGGGTTTTGGATGCTGATCAGGGTTTTTTAATGGTGTGTGGTGTTGTTTGTTGTTGTTTTCATAATGATTGTTAAACCTTATTGATCTAATGTTAATGTGGCAATATCTTTATCACTGTATTCATATTGTAATTTATTGTATTTTTGCTGTTGGATCTGCTTTTAAAAATTCATGTAGTAAGCCACTGTGGGTCTTACTAAGGAGAAATGTGGGATGAAAATTAATTAAATAAGGTTGATTCTAATGTGAATCTCCACGGACAAGCCTTTCTGTAATCAAGATGCTGTAGTTGAGGTTCTATAGAGAAATTTGTTACATTTTATTTTGAATTTATAATCTGACTGTGGAGTTAGGCCATTTTGCATTAAGGAAGAATCCTAGCTTTGGGGCATTGTGCTACTCTAACTGTAATTCATGACGATAATTTGATCCAGGTCTTTCAGGTATTTCTTCAAGAAGGTATACAGTGAGGTTTATGTTGTAAATTACATGCAGTTTATAGTTTTTGTTTTATTGTGGGCTAACCCATTAATAAGGAGAAAACAGTGAGGTCCACTAAGTGTTTCAACTTCACATTTGTCACCATTCTGTTCATTTTTTCCAGGATTTCTTGGTCCTTGAGTCATTCTTTAAACTCAGTTTGCGTTATTGCTTTATATCCATGATGTGAATAGGAAGAGTAGAATTTCCACCAAATGTTTATGCCTCCCCAACCTGCTTCCAAGGGTCCACCAACTCTAAAACAGATTTCAAAAGGGAGAAAGTATCTCATCATCTTCCACTGACAAGAATCTTCTGTTAAATACCTAGTATTTTTGATCTCAGATCACCTACTTTACCTTTCCAGTAGGTGATGATACGTGGTCAGTCCTTGTTTAAAAAGGCAGATCATGTTATCTTGTTATGTCTATAAGATCGTGTCTTGCTTTGCAATGTAAGACTTTAAAAACCACAAATACTAAAAAAGCACATGGAGCACTTGTATATTCTTCTTGCTATCTGGTAATACACCAAAAGTGGTATGTAACAGGACCTGTGTGAATTTTTAAATACTAAAACATTAGAATTATATTGCATAGTCTGAATATTCTTCTTAATGCCAGAACTAATGTGCAGGATTGTATAACTTGTCGGTAGATTATCATAGATCTGCACTTTTTTCAATACAGAATCAAAGCTTTTTAAAATATTCTAAAAACATAGTTTATTTTAGTTAGTCATACAGCTTCTACAGTACAATTTACTTGTAAAGCATTGTAATTTTCACTATAAAACATCTAGAATGTATGGTCCTTGTTTTTTGCAGACATGCATTTAGGTCCACCTGCACCCCACTCCACCCCTAGCATTTACTTTACTTCCTGAAATTCCTTCATAGGTTTTTAAGAAGATATTTTTAGTTGTGGAACAAGACTGTTCTATCCAATTCCCTTTGTCTTATTTTCCAGTGATTTTACAATGATTTTCTATATTTAATTTTTCAATAATTAATTGAAAATATTTCACTAATAACACCACCATTATCTTTGTAATATAGCACAGTACACTGTGAATGTTAGAGCTAGACAGATCAGGTATATACAGTGGTGCCTCGCATTACGACGTTAATTCGTTCCAGCAAAATCGCTGTAGAACAAAAACGTCGTAAAGCGAAAATTAAAAAGCCATTGAAATGCATTAAAACCTGGTTAATGCGTTCCAGTTGGCTAAGAACTCACCGTCCAGCAAAGATCCTCCATAGGGGCGGCCATTTTCGGGTGTCTGTGCAGCGAAAAATGGCTCCTAAACACAGCGGGGAGCCATTTTGAGCACCTGGCGGCCGTTTTGAAAACCTGACGATCAGTTGTTTTGATCGTTGGAAAGCGAAAATCGGTTCCCAAAACAGGGAACCAATCATCGTGCAGTGAAATTCCCCCATTGAAAACGTCATTTTGCGATCGCAAAAACCTCATCGTAATGCGGATTCGTCATTAAACGGAGCGCCCGTCTTGTGAGGCACCACTATATTTGAAAGCTTTGCAATGATATAAAATTGACTTGCAAAAACTAAATTTTTAGAGATATAAGGATAAAAGCAAAAATGACTACAGTGGTGCCTCGCATAGCGAGGTTAATCCGTTCCGGATTAACCTTCGCTATGCTGAAGCATCGTTGAACGGGGCAGGGAATTCCATTGGGCCGAATACTCCCCGTTCAGCGATGCTTCTTAATGGCCGGGCGCCATTTTCGCGCCCTCGCCTCGCTTAACGAGGGCGCGAAAACGCTGCGCGCAGCCATTTTGGGCCATTTCCGGGCTTCCGGCGGCCATTTTGGCCACCGAACCGCTGATCGTCGGGCTTCGTTTTGCGAAGATCGGTAAGCGAAACGCTTACCGGTCTTCGCAAAGCGAATGTTGCCCTATTAGAAAAACGTTAAGAGATCGCATTAGCGATCCGAAAAAATGGATCGCTCTGCGATTTCGTCGTTATACGGTGTGCTCGTTAAGCGAGGCACCACTGTATTTCTCAAATATCATGGCTGTTATAAGTTTGATAATCAAATGTAACAATATTAATATTTTTTATATTGCTTGACTGAAACTCATGAGAAGTGTACATAATGCATTTAAATATAGTGAAATAATCAGAAAAACAGCTGTTGAAATTTGTAATTAAGAAAAAGCCCAGATAATTACTTGAAGTCCATCAAATAATGGCTTAAATTGTAAATTAATGGCTATAATCCGGGTGGTATAGCTTATGCAATGCAAACCAGACTGATGTCATCATGTGGCAACTGGTATATTTAATTTAATTTTCCTACCTGCACCACCCATCAAGTTTCAAGGCTCCTTAGGGCTTCCTGTTGTCCTGGGGAAGCCTTTACTAGCCAAACATAGCTGAACGATCACCACCACCATCTCAATCCTGGCAGTGGCAATCTGATAGTTATTTTTAGTTTTGAAAGATACCTTCTTCATCTCAAGGCTTCTCAAAGTCAAGGGAGATCCTCAGGGAGCCTTGTAATATGAAAAGAGGAATAAGATAGGTAGCTTTCAGTTCATTTAAATTAAATATCCCAGTCACCAGATGGTGATGTCATCCTGTTTGCATGGTGAAAAGTTGCGCAAGGGGATTTTGCCCAAAATGTCCTATTTTTCTTGAGTTTGAAAATAAAATATTTCTGGTTTTAAAAGTTAGCATAGAGTATATGTATATTAATTCTATAGCATCTTGTACTACCATTACATTGAGATAATGAAAAATAACCTCTTTTCATCCAAACTACTCAAGGAAAGGTTCCCTGTTCA